GCGGAGGGGGGCGGGAGGAAAAAGGCGGAGCCAATGGAGGGGGCACCAGGGGCCGCGTCAGTCTTGGCTCGTCCGACAGCAGGGCCGCGTCCTTCTCTTCCTCCGCCTTGAGCACCTCGTTCGCCATGGTCGCCGCGCCGACCGCCTGTATTTGTACCCGGGTGTCTGTGGTGTGTGTCATGTGTGTGGGGAGTGTGTGTGTGCGTGTGTGTGTGTGCGTGTGCGTGCGTGTGTGTGTGTGTGTGTGAGTGTGTGTGTGTGTGTGTGTGTGTGTGTGTGTTGTGTGCGCGCGCGCGTGCGTCCGTGTGCATAGGTCACGCGCGTGGTGTCTCGTCCACACAGCGTGCACAGTACACATGACACGTCTCCTCCCTCTGTGCCACGCAATGTGCCTCCTTCTCGAGCGCCGTGCACGCGGAGAGCAGCTCTTCCAGCACGCCCACGCCGCCCGTCGCCTGCGCCTGCGGCCGCACATGCCGAGGACATGTCCTGGACGTGTCCCTCGGCGTGGCCTCGCGCCCGCCCGTCGCCGGCGCCTTTGCTATGGCGCGGACGAGTCGCGCCGGCAGCCGCTTGTCCGCCTCGCACGCCTCGAGTGCCTGAGGGACAGGTCTCGGACATGTCTGAGGGACAGGTCTCGGACATGTCTGAGGGACAGGTCTCGGACATGTCTGAGGGACAGGTCTCGGACATGTCTGAGGGACAGGTCTCGGACATGTCTGAGGGACAGGTCTCGGACATGTCTGAGGGACAGGTCTCGGACATGTCTGAGGGACAGGTCTCGGACATGTCGTGGACGGTTGCGGTGGGTCTGTGAAGTTCCGCTGAAGTGTCTCTGAAGTGTCTCTGAAGTGTCTCTGAAGTGTCTGTGAAGAGTCTGTGAAGTGTCTGTGAAGTGTCTCTCAGGCGTGTGCGGAGTGTCTTGGAAGTGTCTCTGAAGTGTCTCTGAAGTGTCGCGGAAGCGTGTGTCTCGCCTGCGGCAGCTCGAGCTCCGCGAGAGCCTTCTGCGCCTTCTCGGCGTCCGAAGTGGTGCGGGTGGAGAGGTCATGCAGTTTGGCGTGTACCTGAAGGAGGAGGGGGAGGGGAGGAGTGAGGGGAGGAGGGGGAGGGGGAGGAGGGGGGAGGGGGGGGAGGAGGAGGAGGAGGAGGAGGAGGAGGAGAAGGAGGAGGAGGAGCGAGGAGGAGTGTGGGTGGTCGGCGTGTGTACCTCTCCGTGGAACTGCGTGACGGCGGCGGCGGTTGCGGCGGGCAGCAGCGCCGGAAACGCGTCGGCATACGCAACTTGCGCCGAGGACAGGCCTTCCTCCGGCCGAATCGGCTTGACAAACAGCTTTGGCTCGAGCCGTGGCAGCGCGCCCGCCGACGGCACCGGGTCCTGGTAGATGGTTGCATTGTCCTGCTCCGCTTGCCTTGTGCGCTGCGACAGGCTGGAGGACTCATCCTCAAGACTCCGCCGCTCTGGCGACCCGTCGGGCGCCTACGCGCCGAATGCGCCGACATGAGGGCGGGAGGACGGTCTCGTGCGGAGCATTCAGAGCACCGCTTCCCTGGGACCCCGCTGGTGTTGCGTGACTGGGGAGATATGGGGAGATATGGGGAGATATGGGGAGATATGGGGACCCCGCTGGTGTTGCGTGACTGTCTCTGTGCGATGTCGTGACTGTCTCTGTGCGATGTCGTGACTGTCTCTCTCTCTCTCTCTAACTGTCTCTGTGCGATGTCGCGGCCCTGGGTCGTGCGTCTACGTGAATACGAGGGGTGCGAAGACAGCGGAGTGCGGCGGAATACGGTCGAGTACAGTGTCGAATGCAGTGGAGTACGCCGTCCTCTCGGGTGCCTCTCGAGTGCCGGTTGGAAGACACGACTCTGTAGTCCGCTTCTAGGGTCGGGCGCCGCCGCCGCCGCGCGCCGCATCAGCTCGGACGCGAGCCGCAGCCGCGCCACCTGCGCGAGGGTCAGGAGGAGAGTCTGGCCCGGCGGCTGCCGCGCGCGCCCCCAGGACACACACTGCAGGCATGGGCAGCAGGGGCAGAGTGCTGGGTGGGCTGCCACGCCAAGAATGGACGGAGCATGGGGCACGGCGCAGACTCACACTCCCACCCTCGCGCCCTCACAAGCGGTGCGGCAGGTGTGGCGAGGGCCAGACTCAGGGGAAGGGGGTGCGGCGCCGAGAGGAGAAGGGAGGGAGAGCGAGCCGCGAGGTGGCGTCACTGTGGGCGTGGGAGTGTGGGAGAGCGGTGTGTGGGTGAGAGTGTGGGAGAGCGGTGTGTGGGTGAGAGTGTGGGAGAGCGGTGTGTGGGTGAGTGTGGGAGAGCGGTGTGTGGGTGAGTGTGGGAGAGCGGTGTGTGGGTGCAGATCGAGCGATGCTGCTCCACCTGTGCGCCGTAGCTCGAGTCAGCGGCGGCGGCGGCGGCGGCCTCCTCCTGCGCGATGGCGCGCGCCCTCGCCTCCGCCGCCCGCAGCCTGCGGAGCCAGCTGTCGTCTGCGCCGTCACTAGGCTGGACTACTCCTACTAGACGAGACCCCGCCGCCTGCGGAGCCAGCTGTCGTCTGCGGGCTTGAAGAGGGAGCCCTCCTATGGGGGAAGGTTCCGGGCAGGTTCCGAGAAGGTTCCGCGACAGGGAGCTTGAAGAGGGAGCCCTCCTAGGGTTAGGGTTAGGGTTAGGGTTAGGGTTAGGGTCAGGGTCAGGGTCAGGGTTAGGGTTAGGGTCAGGGTCAGGGTTAGGGTTAGGGTTAGGGTTAGGGTCAGGGTCAGGGTTAGGGTGAGGGTGAGGGTTAGGGTTAGGGTTAGGGTTAGGGTTAGGGTGAGGGTGAGGGTGAGGGTGAGGGTGAGGGTGAGGGTTAGGGCTAGCTTGAAGAGGAGCCCT